ACTGACTGCTGACTGTGCTAAGATTCTCGCGCTGTCTGTGTGTGTAGAAGTATTCTCACGCAGCTGTGGAAAAATGGTGTAGAGCTCTCTCGAAAACGCGTGCGGTGTGTGTTAGAGGTTACAGCTTCTCCCTGCTGTGCCTGTTAGCAGTTCTCACCTGCATGTGTGATTACCAGCTTCTCCCTTGCTGTGAATGTTACAGATTCTCCCTGCTGAATAGATGTGTTACAGCTTTCTACCGCTGCTATGTGTTAAACAGCCTTTCCCTGCTGTGTGTTACAGCTCTCCCTGCCGTGTGCGACAGTTCTCCCTGCTCGCTTGCTGTAACAGCTTGCCTCTCTGCTGTTTGTTAGAGCTTGCTCTCTGCTATAAGTGTTTACAGATTGCTATGTGTTACAGCTTCTCCCTGCTGTGTGTTACAGCTTCTCCCTGCTATGTGTTACAGCTTCTCCCTGCTGTGTGTTACAGCTTCTCCCTGCTGTGTGTTACAGCTTCTCCCTGCTATGTGTTACAGCTTCTCCCTGATGTGTGTTAGAGCTTCTCCCTGATGTGTGTTACAGCTTCTCCCTGCTGTGTGTTACAGCTTCTCCCTTCACCTGCATCCATCCACACAGATTCTACGCATAGCTCGGATGTCTTGTCGGAGTAACAAAAAGTGACCAACCACCTCAGGGATTTAACTGAAGAGCAGTAAGCCCTACGTATAAAATAATGAATCCAATATTTTTTATGGTCACAGCAAGGAGCACGAGCAATTATAATCCCACACACAAGTCACGAATTGCTTACTGTACTAATAAAATCTAAATAACATATCATCAGGAGCATTAGCTCCTGATATCATGTATAAAGGCACCTGCTCTACTGCGGCACTTTGTTTTGGCATTACAATTTTAGCAGAAGGCAGATAACAGAATGCTATTATAAGCTTAGCATGACATAAAAATGCCAAGACATTGTTTCCATTCCTGCTGAAGTAGTTGCTAGCGAATAAAGTGATAACTCTGGTTCACTGCTATTCTCGTTGAGAGACAAAGAAACCATATCGTGGCTGAGGGGGGATGACACGCGAGGTAATGGTCACATTAGTATTATGTGTACAGTTTATGGAAGGTGTGACTGCCTAATGTTTCTCGCAGAAGTGCGCACGATCGATAACAGCGGCAGGCAACGGCAACTTAATGACGTGTGCACACACACACGCACGCACGCACGCACACACACACACACAGTGACACACACACACAATCATACATACATACATGTATACATATACACACACACATACATACATACACGCACGCACAAACGCACGCACGCACGCACACATACACATACACACACACGCGCGCACACGCACGCACATGCACTCACGCGCACACACACATACACATACACACGTACACACACGCTCGCACGCACACGCGCGCATACACGTACACATGCGCGCGCACAAACTCGGCACACATGCCCTGAGACTCGCTATCCCGTGTACAAGCAGCTTAGCTAGCTGGTATGGCGAGCGAAATCTCACATGACCTCAGCTCACACACTGACACTTTATGGCTTTTGCTCTTGCTCTCCCCTCCCCATTCTTCCTTCCCCATCCAACACTCTCTCGCGCGCTCTTAGACATTTTTAAAACAGTATTTACTGAGGTGAAGGCACTGCTAGTGACGGTGAGGAGGACTAGATGCCGTAACCACCCACTACTAGTGACAGTCGCTACGGTGCCCGGTCTGCGGCTTGCTCGCTAAATCCCGTTTAAAACGCCGATCTACGTGAAAGCAATTCGGGGGGAAGGTATTACGCGTGCAAATAGGCCAATGAGCGCTAGGACAGGTCTGGTCAAAAATTAGATCATTTTGCTGCGTATCCGCGAGCTTCGTTTTTCTTATTTGTCAACGGAAAAGAGTCAGAACTCTCTGTAATTGTTTATAAATTTCAGAACCTAGAATCCTTGCTGCGTCTGCCTATGTGGGTGACCCGTCCGGTGTGCATCTTGTGATGGCCAGGGAATTTTTAAAAGAAGCCTTACTGTTTGGCGCTAAAATCTCGTTGCAAAGTGGCCATTTTACGTGTTAACAAGGTATATATATGGATTGGTATCGCACCGTCAATTGAGAGGGTGGCATTGTGATTGCTCGAAAAAAACAACTGCTGAATTATTGGGATTTTTTCGTATGTATGGCCGCCAATAGAAAATGACTTCCCACCGTAATACCAGAAGCACGACCAACAGCAGGTGCCTGCAGGAGAGGTTAGCTACTGTTTCTGTAATCTATATTTATTCATGCATTCGAAATATTCAAACACATTATGGTAGGCGTTGGACACTTATAGCTACTGGGTCTCTCCTGGATCCGACTGCTATAGCCATGATGTCATGTGTTCCCTAATTATCAATTACTATTATATACAGATCGCTATATAAATCGCTATCAAGAGCTAATATTATACCTAGGTATTATCAGCTTTTCTAAATATATATACGTTCCTTCTAAAAGTTCTATTTCCAACGTGTTATGGCTGTTGACTTAGAACACTATATAATGCCAACTTTCCTGTCGAATAAGCTAAACATCCACAGTTTTCACACTTCGAGAAGTCTAGCCGGCTACCAAGAGTTCCACTGTAACATCAAAATTTAAATTGGTTCCACGTGCAGCGCCAATGAAAATGTTGCCACGGTTTTTTGTTATTAGTTTGCTTACAATTGAGTGAATCTGTGCAAATAGAATCGGTATTTGAGCAATGAAGCCCTAGCTCTTGCGCCCACCAACACTTTTGTGGTTGTTGGTGGCAATTGACTTCGTGGCCATGTGCCCCAGTCAGTGATCAGGGTCACGGAGAAAACGAGCTATAGCTGAAAGTGCTGAAGTGCTGACCTCTTAATTTAAGAATATGAAGTTCAGCGCACTTCAATTAACAGCCTCCTTAGACACTAGAGCAGCTCTCAGCACCGTATGATAATGTATGATAATGAGCGGCATCTTCATCGTGGTATTACTGCGCACCCAACCTTTTAAATGTTACCAGCTATCTACCGACTACTTTCATGGCATTCTATGGTATCAGTATATTATATCAGGAGCGTATAAAGACGTATTTGTCATTATACGCTACTGATTATATTATATATATATCAGCAGTAGATAATAGGAAATCCCCTATATATAGGGATAATAGGGGATTCCCTATTATATATATATATATGAGTATATTGCGTGGAAAAGAACACTGTTTATATGCTTAGTGACCTGATCTTGCCGGATTCAATCATAACTCCCCACAAATACCATGTAATAACTGTAACTATGCGCTGTGGGCGACACAGCGCCACGATAACCTAGGTCAAGGACAGCAGGCCGACAATCTGATGATGGTGACGACTGACGATGATGATCTATTTAACACCTCGTCAAAAATTCATGCATTGGAGTCCTTCCACCTAGCCTACATTACGGCAAACTGAACGCAACTATTATCTGATGAGTATAGTCGGCACCAGAAGGCTGAGCTCTGAGCTGCATCTGTGCTGTTGAAGCACTGCTATATGATATAAGTTGCACTATTGATTTAGGACGTCACGTGGATGCAAGCAGGCTCCGTGTACAAGACCTGTCAACTAGAGAGGCTGCACGGACGAGAATGTATTAATTAGAGTGGCCGTACGTGACATCGCGACACGGCAAGCTACTGCACGTAGGTTCACGTAGAGTGGCAATGATAGAAGACACACTCACACACTGAAGACTTCTTGCAGAGGTTGTGTCTTGTTAACGTGAAGCTGACCGTCTCTTCGGACCCCGTGCTGACCTTGTCAACGGCACTGACCTTTGCGCTTCCCTGACCCATTTTACGCCACGTAAACGTAGCCTGCGCCTCCTTTTTCTCTTCCGGTTCTTCCTCCTCTTCGTCGGTTTCCTCTTCCGATGACTCCTCTTCGTACTCAGATGTGTATTCAGATGACTCCTCGCTGGACGACATTCTCACAGTGTGCAGTGCGTAGCGTAACCTCTGCACGCACTGCTATGCCATTACAAAGTTAGACTGCTGTAATGAAGCGCAATACACCCCAGCCATAATCCACTGAACAAGGCCTGGGACAAATCACTTGTGCGGGACGGGGCCTGGCGCTGCACGAGGCTAGCACGGGACACACATGCCGCTGCTGATAGGCCCGCGGAAGCTGCGGCAGTGGGGCCGCCCAACGAGAGGAGGGGGCAGAGTGTATGTGTACTGCAGCGCTGGCTTCCTCCATCCTGCTGCCGACACTTGCCACGAACTGCCGGAGGGAGAAGACGGCGAGATGGACGTTACCACGGCGACCGAGACGGACAGAGGATGCGGCATGCTGCTGCGATGCATGCATTTATTTAAAAAAATTAGCGCGAATTGAGCAGCAATTTTCCCCCATCAGCTCCTCCCGACCCCCACCCCCCATGCCATCCCACACCACCTAACATTACACCTGAATCTGAAGAGGCATGCCAGGAATGTTTAGGCCCAACAGTGGCAACAAGCCTCGCAGACCTATTCTTGCCCCACACACAGCTATATGATCCATCCCTCCCGTTCCTTCTAAACACTGGCCACTTTTTCAACAGATTGCGCCAAGATTGTGAGCTTGGAACATAAGCCGCGCTAGCACTCTGGGGGCAGGTATAAATAGCACACAGGCAGTTCTGGTGAAGGGCACAGGCTACAGCCATTCACGATAGCCCAAGGGGGTAGAAGTGTTGAAGCTCTGGCAGGTCTTCCTGCAGATGCGCACACCACATCTGTGCATCTACATGTAAATATTGTAATTATCCCAAAACGACAGGCCGTATCTCTGAGCCGGCCCCCTTGAACGCGATCGGTTGGACTGGATGAAGCCAACGCGTGGAGCTACGTATCGCATCTTACACATTCTCATCCCTCATCGAGGAAAAATGTGACCAAGTCGCCACCGCAGCCTTATCTATTGTACACACAGCTTCACGGTTTCTCGACAGCGCAGTCTGCTGATCAGGCAGATGTCTATAGCAGAGTGCAGCCGGCTACACGTTCCCTGCGAGCTGACGCAAGCCGAGTGAAGGATGGCACAGTTGAAAGCATCGGGTGCATGACCCGTGGTTTTGCTGCCGGTGTGCTTACAGTGGCGCTGACAGCGACCGGCCACGTGCTCACTGCCTTTTCTCTAAAAAGATCGTCAGTGGCTGCCTGCATCACCGCAGATACACCCGCTTCCACGCCGAGGCTGCAAACTCACCGATGTGAAATGCCCACGCACAAGAAATTAGGTAAGAAGTATATATAAGTGTTTATACAGTTCATGATATCGAAATTATGCAGAACCAACACAGATACAGGTTGCAAATATAGAAGGAGAATACGACGTCTGAGATATATATTGACGGAAGGATGTACAAACAATAACGAGTGAACAGGCTGGTGATTGTCTACATTTTGCCCTCACTATATACTATATTCAACTTCAGATAACGTTTCGGTTAAATTCTGATGCTGCGCACGAGTCATTGCTGTGTTATGTGTGAAGCACGACACACGTGCGTGTAAGTTTTACCGAGCATTCCGAGTATTACAAGCAGGTCCCTTAAGACGGAACCAGAGTTGCTAGCACACAAGAGGGCATCATCATGCAGTGAGAGGCTGGCCATGCTTCGTGCCACTGGAGCATATATATATATGTGCAGAGTGAATCCTATCCGGTCTTCCTGCATTACATGCACCAGCTGCCCACACGAGTCACTGTTCATTTACTGCTCTTCGATCTAATATTATTACCAACTCGGTCATAAAATCTTGACATCGAATCACATGACATTGTTTTCATCATTACATTTACAGTACAGCATCTCACTCTCAGCCATAACCACATGCCATACAACTACGGCAGTTATACAATACCAGAAGCCCTTTTCCCCTCACCTCATACGTCTTCATTGATCAGAATGTATGCGTTTGAACTTTCAATAGCTAATCAGATTTCAGTAGGCTATTTGGAAATAACTTAAAAAAAGACAATCAATCCTTGCAAACATCAGGGTGAAAAGGTTCGTGTACTTATTTCAAATGTCAAGTCTAGCCATAAATGTAAATATTGCGGAAGAACGGTTGTAAATTAAAACTCAGGCACACAGTGTAGACAGAAAGGTATCGGATAGGAACCATAACAATTTGTTTATTTACCTTTTTTGTACCAGCATTTCATCTATATGTTTGAACCTAGTAGGAAAGGTATTGCTGATGGTAAGTAGTTAACGAGGTTAAAAATTTGAGAAATATGCGGCCTAGACTTGTAGAGTAGGGGTGCAACTCCACCAAATTAACTTTCAGACGTGCATAAAAGCAGGTTCTGCCATGTTAGCAATAAATAACTATACAGGTAAATATGTGGCAGTATCACCTCTATACAAGTTACAACGTATACGTATCTACAACGTACACCTACTTTTGAAATTTCCTTGAAGAGAAAGTTATAAAGTAAAACCCACCTCTGTAAAATGGTCACCTGCCGATAAAGGACACCTTTGCTTTGGCATTTACCTTCAGTGACTTACATGCAGGCTTCAATGACTGTATTTAGCTTCAACTCATGGTAATCTCACCAGGTGTTTCAAGCACTTCCCAATTCTCTTAGGGGAATTGGCGTGTAACCTTTTCACTTATCTTTACATGTGGTTTATCCACGGATGCAGTGGCACCCGCGGTGAATAAATGGGTGATACATGTGAGTGCAAATAATGTCAACACCTTTGCATTTAAAATATTTGTAAACATTTACATGTATACGTATAACTGTTCTTTACATGTGCGGTCTCCTGCCCATTAGTTTCAGGATAAATCATTCATGCCTATTATATAGCTGTGATTATGAATAGCATATATATATAGCATACATTTAGAAACACTCGCAGACTAAATGGCCACCTCTAGCTGTTGCACACAAGCTGGTACCTACGTACGGTGCATTATTTATTTGCACAGCAAACATACCTTCATATATAATCACATATATATATGTACACACAGGCATGCCTAGTAATAGTGGTATGTACATTTAAAATGTAAATATACAGTGAGTGCTAGAATCGCTCATAGGGTCTATGTCCCCCTGGGTACTGCCGGAACGTACATACACGGGGGACATAGACCCTCTCAGCGCTAGAATGTAACCACAAGGCAATACCTAGAACCTAGTAGAAAATACTAAACTGCACTTTACAACCATAACCATACCAAATATTATCCAGTCACTGATAGGTTGACATGCATTTTATCAATAGTGTATCACATATTCTGTAGCATTCCACACCTTGCTTCTTCTTGTATATATATATTGAGAAAGTCCATACCTACAATTCACTATTAAATCCTTCAACCAGGGTGAAATGAACCAGTCATTAATTGTAAACAAATTTTGCTCACACTGGTTACTTAGGCCAAACAAAAAACTAGGTGTTTCCGGTCGACCGACCGTCCCTAGATTATTAGGGCAGACCCCGAAAAGTTTTTTAATTTGAAATCTGACAGACAAAACTTGAGATTTTTTTACTACAAACACGTTCTGGACTTGCTTACTAACTTATCCCTACCTATACACCACTTTATAGCATGCATCAGAGGGATATTAGGAACCAAAGAATAAAAAAATAAAAAAAAATAAAAAAAATCCCTACCTTAGTACCTACCCTACTTTTATCCCTACCTACCTACCCTACTTTTGTTTTCGATGCAATAGGAAACACACAGGTCTATTTTTTTGTTTGGCCTTACCACCACATAAAAAACACGTCTCCATAAATATTAGTTTTAAAACATGCTACACTAAATACATTCCATCAGTAAAACATAAGACAGATAAATGCAGTAATACAAAACTAGTAACTTCTGTCATTGCACTAGATATACGTAACAGGTAATGTATAATATGTGGTTTTCAATTTTCACCAATAAAAAACATTACCGTGCCATACTTTTCAAATATCATTGGGTTCAGGACCTTAAAAAGTTTTTAATCGAGTTGTAGTTAAATAACAATTTAATTAAAACTTCGCTCAGTGCTTGCACATGCACTCATTAAATTCTTAAAATAAAACTTTAAGAATATAAAGCAGTATTAAAAAATGTAACAAAATTATTCTTAATGTGTTTTTTTTAACTCTTGCCATTGCCAAGTTCTTTTAGGAGTTGCAACATAAACCCATCATATGACAACTTGAAGCTCTAGTATACCCAGTTCTTGAAGCTTCTTAATTGTATTTTTAAGACCTTCATATATGTAACAATTCACTAACATGATATATGATAAAAGCATAACCTTTTCACTGATACACTTACTTTACTTTGTATAACTCTATGGTGCTCAATGAATCAGAATGGAGAAGATTACATGATACTGGATTTAGAAAAAGCTAAATTATGATTTACAGCAGAAACAAAACACAGCTACTAAGAAGTAAAAAGGACCAATCAAAATATGCAAGAAGCCAGTGTCCGCCATATGCCAGGCCAAACCGCACTACATGTAGCTGACATGATATAGTTTCCTATTGGGCTGGAGTGGGAAATTTTTTAATTCTAATATAATGTTTATTCACTTGTTACGCATCTTAATTTTCAGAGGGTGATTTTTTTTCCATCTAGGAACACTCCCCGGGTATAGGAAATCGCCCTCTGAAAATTGCATCCAGATCGCTTGGGCGGTTTGGCCGGGCATAGAGGACATACATACATACATACATACGAACTGAAATATAGATTAGATATATATAATAGATATATCTATATATATCTATCTACCTATCTATCTATTTATATCAGGGGTCGAAATAAGTGATGGTCCGATGGTCCGGGGCCATCAAATAATCAGGAGGACCATCAGATTTTCAAAGTCAATGGTCCGACGGACCGGACCGTTATGGGTTCAACTAAATTCTACTGAAACAACTTTATTAACCAATATACTATTAAAGTGAATAAACAATTAAGTAAGTACTGTATCATTTGATACATTCATTGTAGGTGAATAATTTCCATTTTATCACCATGTAAAATCTCTTTCTTACGCTTGCACGCCACATTACTTTTAG